GACTTGATTTAGTGTTGTCATTTCCCGTACCTCATCCCCCAGCCGAGGCCTGTTTGCAGTTGGGAGCTTGTAGGTTGGGGTAGAGTACTGGCCCTTCACTCATCTCTTCCCCTCAGCTCACCAAGGTTGAAGTGGGAGAGTACAAAGGGAACAGAGGATCTCACTGGCCAGGCATTCTCTTAAGCTGTCTTCGAGCTCTCTGGGCCTGGCAGATGTTTGCAGCCGACACCCTCTCCTGTGGGTGCTTTCTTGCATTCTTTGGAGGTTCTTCTGTTCAAGGACAACCATCATTTGGGGAATGTGTCCTGTTCTTCCTACTGTCACTGCCCCCGCATTTCCTGCTTTTTCTGGTTATCTGCTGTATATCCTGCGTAGACTCCGTGAAAGAGTTCATATGGTATCAAACTGATTCTAATTGCCATGAACTCCACATCTGCTCAGAATCTATCACTTTGGCAAGCATTGAGATCATCAGCCAATCTCAGTATAGCTACTTCACTTTTTTTCACAGTCTTTTGCTCAATAGATTTCTCAGGAAAGAGTCAGAAATCAGCCCACTGCGTTTTCCTCTCCCTGTGTGAGGTGAGGGAAGAATTACTCCTCTGGACCCTTCTTGAAAGTATATATAGCATGTGCAACTCCAGGCTCAAAAAATCCTCTTTATAAAACCCTCCTTTATTTCTGACCCTCTTTTCCTTTAGATTCTTGAAGTGAACAAGGAGTTTCAAGAGCCTTATACTCTCTTTCTAGATATGTATTTGGAGATTCTGTACAAATTCTGACATTTCTTCACAATACAGCATTCCTCATTTCCTAGTGCTGCAGATGAAACATCCACTGTAGACTCCTGTAGCACAGAGTGAGTGCACAATACATGTTACTGTCACTATTCCAAGCCCCTTTCTCATCACCCTAAATCAACATCCTTTTCGTTTTTTTAAACTCTCATGTGTTTATCTCTTATGTCAATGGCCAGGAGGGCAACAGTGCCTTCCACGGTCGTTAGCTGTCCTTCCTTGGCTCCACTGTTTGGTACCTACTAAGCATCAAAGAACTCTCGTTGTACTAAATGCCACATGAATAAAGGAATGAATGCCATCATCAAGATCCCTCAGAAAAGGCATCATTGCCTCACCTTTGTTCTTTCAGACACATTTATTTCTCTGAAATTGGTGAATCAAAAAATGCAAGACAGTGAAAAAATAGATGATGTAATTTTTGGAAAATGATGGCTTGGAGATGGATGAAGGCTAAATTAAAGCAGCTGTTTATTGAGCCCATTAGCAGGGGAGGAGGACGTGATAGATCTCAGGAAACAGCAGAAACGCTGGGGTTTTCAGAAGAAATCTGAAAGCAGATGGCAAGTGGATGAATCAGTGAAAGGCGGCAAAACTATCTACAGAGTGGCAGCGCTCAGCAAGGGCAGCTGCGGCAGGCAGGCTGTCACTGGGACTCAGGGAAAGAAAGACAGGCTGAAAAGACCAAGGCAGCAGGAGCACAGGGAGAGCAGGGGGCTAGGTTTACAAACTGCCAACAAAGCACAAGGGAAACGTGGGAGAGCTGGAGCACTAGATTCTTCAGGAAGGGATCTGCTCTGTCCCATCTGTGACGTTGCTTTGCTGTGTGTCTTAAACAAATCTTTGTCCTCTCTGGGCTTCTCTTTCTACATTTGTAAGTGAAAAGATACATCCAAATCTCCTCTAAGGACCTGTTTTCCAGCCTTTGTGAAAAATCATCTTTGCTTTTGTGGGACGATGTTAAGAAAGATTTTTCACTTTCATTTCCATGTGTTTCTAGGATGTACCTTATTATTCACCTGGGTTTAGAAGCTGCCATTTTTTTTTAATTAAAAAGAATGAGAGACAGAGAAATGGAAGGAAAGAAGGGAGGGAGGGAAGGAGAGCAAGGAGAAAAAAGAGAGAGAGAAAGAAAGAAGGGAGGGGGGCATTGCCTGTGGCTCAAAGGAGTAGGGCGCTGGCTTCATATGCTGGAGGTGGCAGGTTCAAACCCAGCCCTAGCCAAAAACTGCCAAAAAAGAAAAGAAAGAAAGAAGGAAAGGAGGGAAGAAGGAAGGAGGGATGTCATACTTCAGTGTGAGATTGCTCAATCGGATAATGTTCTTATCGGCCCTCACCTGAAATCAGTTACATTGAGGGATTGGGTTGTGCGATTAGAGTGACAATCCTGGTAATATGTTGCATTTTGAGGTGTAGTAAAGGCACTGGTGAATTAATACAGTGAGAAGCTTAGGCTGGTATTTATTTATTCTTTTTTTTTTTTTTTGAGACAGATTCTCACGCTCTTGCCCTGTGGTAGAGTGCCATGGCATCATCATAGCTCACAGCAACCTCAAACTCCTGAGCTCAAGTGATCTTCTTCCCTCAGCCTTCTGAGTAGCTGGGACTACAGACACCTGCCATAATGCCTGGCTAATTTCTCTTTTTAGCAGAGACAGGGTCTCACTCTTGCTCAGGCTGGTCTCAAAGTTGTGAGCTCAGGTGATCCACCTGCCTTGGCCTCCCAGAGTGCTCAGATTATAGGCATGAGCCTCCGGACCCGGCCTTGAACAGACAATTATATAGGTATACTGTGTATTTATCTATTTATGTCTTCATTCAGCAAATACTACAGCACGGGTCAGGCCTTATGCCCTCGGGTATGTATTCAGAGTTAAGGAGCACCAAGCGTTCACTGCACAGTATGATCAGTGCTGCCAGCACACGTGTCTAAAACAATCAGAAGACTTTCATGAGGGTAAAATGACTTCTGAGACATAGGAGAATTGTAAGGGGTAATGGAAGAGGTGAATATTGAGCTACCCACAGAGGGCTTGACTTCAGTAGGAACTCTTTCAGTGGGAATGGCATTTGTGATGTGTAGAACAGAAGTTCAGAGGAAGAATATCTATTCACATGTTCAGACCAATGATAAAAGTTAGCTTACATTCACTGAGCTCATACTCTGCACCACGTACTAGTCTAAGGACTTTGTTTGTATTAACTTGTTGAATTCTCACATTCCCCATTTTTCAGATGAGAAAAGTAAGGCCCAAAGAGGTTAAGTAACTTCCAAGATCATGTAGCTAATTAGTGGTAGAGGGGGGGATTTGAGCCAGAAAGGCTAGCTCCAAAGCTGCTCTACTGACTGTTAATGTTGCCTCTTGACAGTAAAAAAAGGTCAATGTCATACATGTTGGGGAGCACTTGTCAATAGAGCAGAGTCAGATTTTGAAAAAGAAAATTTGTTCAGAGTTTTCCCCTCTATTAACTGAGTATGTATTAGCATCAGAACAGAATAAAGCTGTCTCTTACAGTACCTCACTTGTTCTCACTTAGTGCACACAAATACCTGAGTAGCATGATGGGATCGACGGCTCTAAGCAGTTCCATAGCTTGCTTCAGGTCTACTGAAGGGGCTTGCAGGTCCACTGTGGTGTTTAGGCAAATGTGGCAGAACATGGGTGTGCAGAGGAATGCTGAGCCGCAGTGTACCTGGGAATCAGTGTGGTTCTGGAATCTTGGTGTGGGATAGTGTTGGGTTCCGATCCTGGTCATACTATTTCCCAACTGTGTCTCTCTGGGCCTCAGTTTCTTCACCTACAAAATGGAAATAGTAATCTCTGTGTTCCATGGATATTATGAAGCAAATAAGATGTGTGTAGATATATATGGAATGCCTGATTATTATTACTAAAACTGAAGGTTCGTGCCTGAGTTTATTTCAAGGGTTCTAAATTTTCTGTGAGCTTTGAAGGACTTTTCAGATGGAACCTCAATAATGTGGCAGCACCACAGAATAACTGCAGCTTCTCTCTACTCTCGAGGCAGAAAATGATGGAATAAAGAAGGAAAGAAGGTCATCTTTTTGCAACAATTATATAGTTTCCATGATTATCACCATTTGAGGTTCCTCCAGTTGGGTTTGAAGGGCTGTACACTTGATTTGCCCATTACAGTCTTGAACGTCTATGGATACTTTATGATGATGCCACCTGTTAGAAACCATAGTAGGGCATAACCCTGCACACTTCTCTGTGACTGTTTTCCTTACTTATGAAAAGAAGTGGTGTTTTCTAAACTAGCCCTGTGGTTTTGATTAGATTTTAGGGCCCTCCAAATCAGAGATGCTCCCTCCTTCTCAAAACCTTGTGGTAGGCTCGGCACCCGTAGCACAATGGTTATGGTGCCAGCCACATACACTGAAGTTGGAGGGTTTGAACACAGCTTGGGCCAGCTAACCAATGATGACAACTGCAACAAAAAATAGCCAGACATTGTGGCTTGCACCTGTGGTCTCAGCTACTTGGGAGGCTGAGGCAAGAGAATTGCTTAAGCACCAGGACAAGAGTTGGAGGTTGCTGTGAGCTGTGATGCCATAGCACTCTACCCAGGGCGACATAGTGAAACTCTGGCTCAATAAAAACAAACAAACAAACAAAAAAAAAACACTCTGTGGTAGTTAGACTTAGCAATAGAAAGAAATAAACTGAATTATGTCATGAATTATTATCATGTGAGACTTGATTCCCTCTGCCCTGCTTCTACCATATGTAACACTTAGAGTTGTTTTCCTTGGATATGAACCATTTTCTGAAATTTTACTAGGAAAAAGTCTGACCCAACAGAAAGATGGAGGGCAGGAGAGCATGGCACCCAGTGCTTACAGAAGGATCCCCCCATGGCCCTCTGATGTTCAGGGTCCAGGGCTGCTCCATGCTGCTGGGCTCTTCCTTCCCTTTGAATGAATTCCCTGTGAAGGGAATTCAGCTTCTACTGATGCTCTGCAGTCACTTCCATCCACATCATTTCCTCCTTTCTTCCTTTTCTCTCCTTTCTCTGCCTTCCTCACCTCCTCCTTTCTCAAACATGTCTGTGTATTTGTCAGAACCCCTGGAAAAGGTTCAAGTTTTAAGTTTCAGTTTTGATTTTTACCCACAAAACTTCCATTAACTGTGACTTTACTTATCCTTTCCTGCTTTCTGAGATGGAAAAGACATTTGGGTGCTCGCTTTGGCAGTACATATACTAACATTGGAATGATACAGAGATTAGCATGGGCCCTGTGCAAGGATGATGTGCGAATTCATGTGAAGCCTTTCTTATCAAAAAATTACGTCACTGAATTTTAGAGTTTGAATAACTAATTTTGAGAGCCAGGTGACCTTTTGAATGGCTGGTTTCAACTCAAAAGTGTGTCATTGATACGTAGTCTTTAGATGTAACTATTGGAGTGAGGGGCAAGAGGAACTTTCCCAGCTTCACCCATCTTAAGTACCTTCTCCTAGGTCTGGTGCCACCAATTCTAGACAGCCTATCACATAGGTAGTACCCTAACCAGTGTTTCCTCCTAAGGGGTATGTAATGAACAGGCGCATAGCTGTACCGTTCTTCTTCCCCAAAAGCTACTCATAGCCTCAAAAAATGCTTTCCACTCTTTCACTTCAGCTAGAAGTGGTAAAAATATCTTTTTCTGGCCTCATCATTACCACTTACTAACTGCACTTTGATCACATTGCTTGAACTCCGGTTGTCAATTTCCTCAGCTCTTAAATGGGCTCAGCAATCTCCGTCCTGCTTACCTCACAGTGACATTGTAATTATCAAGAGTCCTTTGAAAGCTGTAGATAGACTAGAACAGAGTTTTGCAACCTCAGCAGGATTGACATTTAGGGCTAGATAATTCCTTTGTGAGCTGTGCTGTGTGTTGTAGGATGTTTAGCAGCATCTTGGCCTCCCACCAGATACCAGATACCTCCTCCTAGATATAATAACTAAAATCATCCCCAGATATTGTCAGATGTCCCCTGCAGGTTAAAATTATCCCTGGTTGAAAACCACTACACCAAGGGTTGTTCAGTTTTAATGTTGTTGTTGTTGAATGAATTCAAATCCAAAGCAGAATGCCCCATTAGAAGAATGGGAGGTAAGATGAAGCACAAAATGGGGTCCCCATTTGCCTATATGGAAAAGGAGGGGACAAACCTAGAAGGTACCCAACTGATCTTCCTGATCTTGGCTGTGTCGCTGAGGCATTCTGTTGGGTCAGAGACAGGAAGATGGTTGAAAAGCAATGTCCAGCTTCCTATCAGCTCCAAAAGGCAAATCAACACCCAGCCTAATCCTTGCAGATCCCCAGCCTTCCATCCCCCTCCTGGAGGCCCCATTCTTGAGCTTTTAATTTGTTTTCACAGCAGTTTGAACAAATTGAATTTGTTAATTAAAGTGGTAAAATGAAATGCTGAGCATTATTGACTAGATGCTAATGCCATTAACGGGACTGAAGGAGAGGGACCCAGGCTGTCAATCGCTGCACAAATCAGATCAGCAGAGGCCACGGAGCACACTGTGCCTGAAGGCTGAGGGGCAGACCTGTTTGCGCATTATGTGATTTTGTCTTTATCAGTCAGGATCTGTAATTGCCAAGACCTTCTTTAGCAAATAGTTAACTCCTTTGTGCCAGGGCTTGTTCTATGTGCTGAGCATATACTGGTGAATCACATGAAACCCCACCTTGGAATCTTAAGGTCTGATGGGTGAAAGAAAGAAAGAGATGTGGCTCTAGCATAGCACATAGGCTTAAGAGTTTGGGTTTTGGAGGCAAACAACCTGGCATTCAAATCCAGACTGTGTCTGATAGCCAAGGTATGTGATTATACCTTCAGTTTCTTTTTCTGTAAAATAGGGATGATATTATGTAATTGTACCTCCTTAATAGGGTTTCCATACACATTAGAGGCTATAATCCAGGTAAGACATTTTACACAGTCCATGGCACAAGTTAAATGTTTAATAACAGCCATTATAAATGCAAATACATAGGGGAACATGAGAGAAGGGAGGGATTATATCTGCTTTCGGGAGATTGATTAAGGAGTCTTTGAAATGTGACACTTGAAGTTTGGCATTCCAGATGGAGAAATGGGAAAGAGCTTTAGAGGCAAAGAAAAGAATGTGCAATGCTATGCACATAAAAAAAAAAAAAAAGCCACTTTATTTGCGGATGGTAAAAGTCTGTGGAGATAGCCAAAGGGCTGGATTTGAAAGACACCCTATTCTCATTCTCCCCTTAGGTCTTCGCAGCTGCTGGGTCCCCTACTTGGAATAGTCTTCCACCTCTTCTCCTTGCCGACTTCTCCCTATTCTCCATTTAAATGTCACCTCCTCAGAGAAGTCAATCCTAACTACCCATTCTGAAGTAGGTCATTCTGTTCCCCTTTTAAAGATAGAACACTGCTCTCCCTCTTTAAAGTGTTTATTAAAATGTATAATTACATATTTTATCCACTTGTTTGCTTACTTAATTTCTGTCTCTTTCACTAGGCTGTAACTCCATGATAGCAGAGAACACATTCGTTTTTTGACCACTGGATAATCAGTACCCAGCACAGACAGGGCCTGGCATGTACCAGACACTAATGGTTGTTGAATGATTTATATACCGAAATCAGCAGATAAGATATAAGTGCTTTGGTTTTCATAAGCCTCAATCATTTTGGTCAATATCAAATGCATATTAATGAATCATTTAGGAATAGGAAGGGTAACTAATACTTGTTGAATACCTACTATGAGCCATGGACTTGAAGTCCTTTATTTCTAATCCTTCCAATAATCTTAGGATATAGGCATTATTGTCCCAATTTTAAGGATAAGGAAATTGAGACTCTGAGAAGTTAGGTTAATTGCTAACCTGGGTCCCACCCCAGTGCTCTGAAAGGCCTAAGGGCTTAGGACTATCCCAAAGAGGCTAAGAACCCAAAGCAGTAGGGACTTTAGTGATCTAGACCTGGGTTCTAGCCCCAGAGTCAGATGGTTAAAATTTTTCAGTAATTGCCTGCTCTTTGCACCATTTTACTGTTGAAAGTATAAACTTCATAATTAGGCAATTATAAGGTAAAACCTGATTTTATTCATTTATTTAATTTCAATTAAAGCCATCAAAAGTGATTTATTGATTACAAACAAAAAAAAAAAAAAAGAGAGAGAGAGAGAAAGCCACTTCTGTGTCAAATGTTTGTAAGCAACTTACCAGATGCTGGGCTCTGGGATAGCAGTTAGTGACTGCATGGGGAAACAGCATATCCTTGAAACCCATAATCAAAGTCTCAGGTCTGTAAATGCTTTATTTTATTTTGTAAAGGCACACCACACAATGAAAACACTAGTAACAAAGGAAAAAATAATTTATGAAACTGAGTAATAATGAAAGTGAATCATCAAAGGCCTGAATTTATTTATAATAGTTACAAAGCCATCAAGTGAAGATGAAGTTCATAGACGTAATCATAACAATAGTAATAACTAATAATAACTTCCCCCTATTCAAGTGTCAAAGTGTCATCACCTGACTCCAAAGCTAATCCCATTTCTCCCATTTTTTAGTCACGGCATCTTGAGGTTAATATTCTTATCTGCACAGCGAGTGCATGCCTTCTTCAGGCAGCTCTGCTAGAACAAGACCAGGTTGGAAATTGGAGGCTCAGATTCAGGTCCTATCTCTACCAGACTCAGGAAAATCTTATTTTCCTTAAGAGGGTGACTTCCCCAGAGAGCATACTAAGGGCAGAAAATCTCTGTTCTTACTCTAGCACTTGCTTTACCCATCTGTCAAAGATTGAGGTCAGACTGTATGCTTGCTCTACCTAGATATAAAAGATAGTGAGGGCGGTGCCTGTGGCTCAGTGGGCAGGGCACTGGCCCTATATACCGAGGGTGGTCATTAGGCCCAGTCCCGGCCAAACTGCAACAAAAAAATAGCCAGGCGTTGTGGCAGGTGGCTGTAGTCCCAGCTACTTGAGAGGCTGAGGCAAGAGAATTGCCTAAGCCCAGGAGATGGAGGTTGCTGTGAGCTGTGTGATGCCACGGCACTCTACCAAGGGTGATAAAGTGAGACTCTGTCTCTACAAAAATAAAAAATAAAATAAATAAAATAAAAAATAAAAGATAGTGAGTTTTGTAGGCATCATTAAGGGAGATTCCCAGCTGTCCTTAAGAATTAGACTAATTCTGAGGGAATTTTCTAAGCTTTTCCTTGAAATTGCTGAGGAATCTTAGGAAAGTGACTTAACCTGAGACAAAGTTTCTTCATCTATAAAATGGGATAATTTTATGCACTTAGCACGGTTTCCTAAGAGTACAAAATGAATAAAGGAAGAAGGTCTGTGCAAACGAACTATAAATTGCCACAAACAAGACTGGAGTGGTTCATTCTCTGCCATATAGCCAATAAAGAGCCTTAGCCAGATTGGGGGTAGCTACTTCAATACCAGCAAGTGCTTGAGCCGTTCTTGACTCAAAGCTGCCTCAGTGTTAGAATCCTGAGCTGTGTGGGGCTGAGGAGATTGTAAGAGCCCATTGAGCCTGCTGCTCAGACAGCACTTCTGTAGCAAATTCCAGTTGGCTTTTCATGTCCCTTTTGGGCTCAGATAAGATCTCTGTGAAGCTTAGCCTGGCCTGTCTATTGTCATCACAGAGGGTGACTTCCCCAGAGAGCATACTAAGGACAGAAAATATAATGAGCGACTACAGAAAGGCAAACGCTCTCACGTGATGAAAAGAGAAGGCAGTAAATCTCTCTTTTTTTTTTTTGTAAGACCAGACAACCTGACTTTAGTCCTGAGCATTAGGGTTTGAAGTACTGAATGAACTATACCTCTGAGCCCTATCTAGATCAGACCCAACGAGTCAGGTAAATTGCCACTTGGAAAAGCTAGGCTGGACAACATGTCTGAGGTGGCTGGCAACAAATACTGAACCCTAGAACCCTGCCTCCCCTTCCCAGTCACAGGTAGCAGTGGGGCAAAGCACAGAGGCCAGAACTGAGCGTGCACCGTCTGTGGGTAGGCTGATCCCAGAGAGACGCAGAGCATTAGCCGAACTCCACTGCTCATTCTCCCATTGTCACCGCTGATTAACTTACCCCCACACCCCAGGAAGGCTCTGGTAAGGGAAGAAATGAGGCAGGGAGCAGGGGAGGAAGGTTATTACTCTAGTGGGGCTTCCTCCATCTTGAAACACATCCATAACCAATGGAGAGACACTGGCATGTTTAAACAGTATAGTGACATAGTGAAATTTATGTTTTGGAAATAATACTCTAGAATAT